GACAGAGATTTGTCCTGACTGTGGGCAAGGCAGGAAAACTCTAGCAACAGCTTGATGTTTTCAGCTTATTGTTCAGGGAGGAGAGATTGGGGGTGGGGCAATAGGGGAAGAGCCATGTGACTCAATATCTTGAGCTATGTCACTTTAGACAAGACCCCACTTCCCACTGGCCCTCACTTCCTTGCAAAGTGAGGTCCACCAGATGGGTAAGTTCAGAAGCCCTTGTCGGCTCGGACAGTCTGGGTCTTGTCTTCTGAGGGTGATCAGGCAGGTGACAGTTACAAGACACCCCAAGCCTTCTGCCTTCGGGATGATTTCCTCTTGGGAACTGAGATTAACCCGGGCCCAGCCTAGCACAGAACCTCCCGCCAGGAGCCCTCACCGATATCTTGCTCCACACCAGTGGTCACGGTGATATCATCGATGTAGGTGGTGGGGGTGGTGTAGAGGACCACGGACCGATGCAGTCCCGCATAGTTGAAGAAGTCGAAGCTTGTGTCCTGGACAAAGTAACCCTTGGGATACCTAGGAAAAACAAGGGTCGATTGTTCCCGTGTCTTTTTTTTTTAAATCGTGTGTGTGTGTGTGTGTGTGTGTGTGTGTGTGTGTGTGTGTGTGTGTGTGAGAGAGAGAGAGATCATAGGACAACCTTGGGTACTGGTTCTTGCCTTTTACCTCCAGACAGGGTCCCTTGTTCTAGCTGTCATGAGAACTTCCAGGAATCCCGTCTCCACCTCTTATCCCGACACAGTAGCACTCAAGAACGCTGGGATTACAGATCCAGCCTATGGCATCCATCCTTACGTGGGAGCCTGGACTTCAAATTCATGACTTCATGCTTACACAGTGAGTATTTTACCCACTGAGCCATCTGCCCGGCCCTCTGCCTCCTTTCAGGTTTAACTAGCATGTGTGCCCTGGTCTCCCCAGATCCGGGGCTAAAGTCACTGTCCCTGTGTGGAAATTCACTGGACAGGGGAGGGGAGGGAAGAGGGAGGAGGATGCTGCTCACATGGAGGTATCGGCCTTGTAGACGATGGACCCCGGTGGCAGGGTCTGAGGAGTCAGTGTGTTGTTGATGGCGATGGTGATCCGGCAGGTGGTCAGCGGCCCAGTCTGGACCAGCTTGCTGATGTCAGCTTCGAAGGGGAGGTGACCCCCCTCATGTTCCATCACGTGAATCCCATTCACCCACTGCAGACACAGGAAATATGAGCAGAGGGCAACGGGCCAAGGGGAACCCCCTTCCAGAAGCGGGCCCTGCCATAAGCCTGATGGAAGAATGGTGTTCTAACGGAGCCCACGAAGCCACCCTTTCTCCGACCTGTGGCACAGACCCCTGCTCAACAGCCTAGACTGCTTTCCCCCGGGGCCAGCCTCTCCCTACACTGACCACAACAGCATAGTAATGGGCACTGTTGATCCTCAGCACCACTCTCATTTCGGGGTCTTGGGTCCATCGCTGTGGCAGGATCGCCTCCCGTTCATACCACACCCAGCCAATAAAGTTCCGAAGCCGCGCCTCTTGGGTGATGTCATTGAAGCTGGAAGGGACCGGCATGTCCAAGGTTGGGCCCGACTGGGGAAAGAAGAGCTGGAGTCACGGGCTGGGGATGTAGCTCGGCTGGTAGGATGCTGGCCTACCATGCATGGGACCTCTGGTTCCAACTCCAGCACGGCGTAAACCAATGGGGGCGTGCACCAGTAATCCCAGCACCTGGGAGGTGCAGCCAGGAAGACCCGAGTTCAAGGTCATACCCTGGCTAAGTCCTCTGCTCCACAGCATATCTGGAGATACATGAGACGCTATCTAAAGGGCGAGAATCGGGGCTGTGCTTCATGCCTGCACCCCACCCCCACCCCCAGCACCTCACAGAAGCACAGGGACACAGAGGAGGGACTCGGTAAACACTGGCTGCTTGGGCAATTGGTACAAAAGACCGTTGAAACCCAATTCTTCCCCAGGACAGATGGCACCAGGATCCAGATTCCCATGGAAAGGGTGAGCCAAGGGCCACAGCCCAGCCCGCCTAAGACAGGAAGAACCGGAGCCTGACAAAGAGGCAGATGGCCACTGCCACAGGGGGAAGGCCAACAGCAGGGCCCAGGGGCCCCTGAGCTGAGGAAACGGAGAAGGCATGTGAGGCGCTGTCTCCTCCTCACTTCCTCTTGGGCTGAGTGCTGGGCGGTGGGGGGTGAAAGCTGAGCGGCTAGACCAGGTGCGGTGGCCCCATCGCTTGTAACCCTGGCACCTGGGAGGTGAAGGGGTGGAGGCCAGAGTGGGCCCGAGTGAGGAGCTGTCTGTCCGTCCGTGTGTCTGTCTGTCTCTCTCGCTCTCTTACACACACACACACACACACACACACACACACACACACACACACACACGGCTGCTGAGATGACTCTGGGTTTAAGGCCCTACATAGTCACCAAGCCTGATGACCCGAGTTAGATCCCCGGGACCGAGGAGTGACCAGCGAGGTGCCCTCTGACCTCTACATGCACTGGGTGGCACATGGGTGCCCACACTCATGCACACACAAATGGATGTTACAAAGAAGGGAGCCGGGGTTGGGGGATTTAGCTCAGTAGTAGAGCGCTTGCTAGCGAGGCCCTGGGTTCGGTTCTCAGCTCTGAAAAAAAAAAAAGAAGGAAAAAAAAAAAGGAGAAAGACGGGGAAGTGGAGGAGAGAGCCAAAGAGGGGAAGAGGGAGTGAGGGATGAATGATCGATGAATGAATGAATGCATCCGGGAGAGGCGGAGGCTGTGAGCACACAGGTTTTCTTCTCCCTGCTCCTGCACCAACCCTGCCCAGTTAGGAAGGGAGAGCGGAGATGGAGACCTCTGCTAGCTGTGTGCAAACTCCTGTCCTCTATCTGAATCTTGCAACCCCAAGGCCCTTCTCTTGGTTGAGCCGAACCCCGCATGGTCCCCTCCTCTACTCCCACCCCGAAATCTTTGTGGTGGGCAGCAGCATCCCCTCTGTACACTCCTAGGGTTCTGCTGCTCGCCAAATGTGAGTGAGCATGCAGGAGGCAATGTGCACAAACATTCGCTCTAACGGTTGGGAGAACTGGAGCAAGAGG